CTTTCAATTTTTTTAAGAACTTTCCCTAAAATGGCAATTGAGACAATTTTCCCTTGTTTGAATTGTGTTACTATTCTTTTTAAGTTAAACCGAAATTTAATATTTAAAGAAATCTAATTAAACTATACAGAACTACCCTGTTCTTTTGTTAAATTTCCGCGTTATCTAGTTTCAAATAAAGGAAAGAGAATGACTGAATGATTCACAAGGTTATTAAAATATCAAATAATGGGAATTAACATTCATGCTATTGTTTTTCTCAAAAACAAAACATTGATTCTATCGTTATTTGTTCCTTTTAGTTTTCCAAAGATACATGTTTCGTTTTTTTTTTATTAGATCCTCTCCCTCACACTTCATCAAATTCTCACAGATCTCTTCGAGGAAGAAGATGACTTCGCATCCTCAAAACTCTCAAAGTGAATACACATTGAGAAAAATGTATGAATTTTATGAGGGACCAGTTTACAAGGTATATAGCTTCATTAATCTCTATTATTATATAAACTCATGTTTAATTTAAAGGGACACTAATTTAAATGTCTCAAGTCCTAGCAAATCATAGAAACAGTTCTTCCAAATCTTTTGTTTGATAATATTCTTTTTGTAGATGTTTTCTAGACTTCCATTATACAAGACACAACTAAACTCCGAGCAGATCATGCGGTACAAGATGATAATGGACTGTATGTATGACAGACAATGGTAATACCACCATTGATCGAAAAGTATTTATTTTCTTCTCTCACATTGAATCAAAAGTTTTCTTACTTGGTAAAATATGTGGCAGAGCTTGATGGACCAAAGCCGGAGCTGATTAGTGTGGCACGGAAGACAGAGATAGCCAGAGGATCGAGACAGGATGTAGAACAGGTTAGCAAAATGCTGAGAGAATACAAGAAGCTAGAGAGAGTGTGGAGAAGTCTAGATAGATACATGAGTGATACGAATCAGATGGAGATGGCTGCTCTGTTTTGGCATGAGATCACAACTCCTTTCTACATAGAGATGGTTCCAGAGGCGAATAAGATTCTCCCTCGCTTCCTCCTCGGAAGCTTTTTCCTCGGAAGAAGAGGAGTCAGAAACTTCCTCTCCGTAAGTCCGAGTTGATGAATTGGCTGAAGTG